AGTCTGCTCAATGAACTCAAACCATCCCATCAGGGGAGGATAACAAGTTTTCCAGTTGGCAGACAAACTAGCTGCATTTACAGCCAAGCTGTAGTTGTGGGGACGGCGCGTGAACAGAGGCATTTTGGACATGTTTCAAACATTAGCGGGGATTTTAGGCAAGACGGACCCTGAATATTCAATCTCCCAGTTGGTGCATGATCACCTGTCTATGCTTTTAAAAGAATTCGAGCACCACTTCTCAAGCACAAAAGACCCACGAACTGGTAAGGAATGAATCCGCGACCTCTTTGTCAACAAATCAGGCGAATCTAGCATGTCAATGCAAGAATAAGATAAAATGCTGGAGGTTGCAAATGACGGCGGACCTAAAACTACGTTCGAGACAACAACGCCGCCTGTGTTCTGGATTAAAGTCTGCGGATTAGCACTAGATTGCCACCACAGGACTTAAATTCCTATTGCCATTTCGGACATCCTGTCTGCGTGAAGTGGGGTTTTCTGCAGTGACAGCAACCAAAACAAAACAACAGAATAAACTGCACATAAGCAACACACTTCGGGTCCCCATTGTCTCGCATTACCCCCAGAAGGAACAGTCTTGTTGCAGAGAAACAACCTCATGGTTCTATTTGATTCAGCGTTCTAGTGAGTTAACATGTTGAATCACTTTATATACATTTGTTGTTGTAACCGTACTTTATTTTTAAGGCATGTTAAAATACAAGTAAAATTATTAAATCAAAACAATTTACAATATATAAACAACAAACGTCCCCCTTAGTGAGCCGCGGTAAAATTATCAAACGTTGACCGGTCCGCGACAACGAACTGGTTGGAGACCACTGCTCTAAAACGTCTGACCGTGTTTAAAACTAATCGGAATTGACTTCAAAGTGACGATATTGTTGCATGAGTCTAAAAGGATGGTTAGGGACCGGTAAATGGTACGGTAGCACGTTAGCCTTGTCACTATTGGCACCAATCCGAGGATAATATATCAGTGGCTTACGAATCAGAATCTTTACGTCTGGAAAGACGACCACTGGCCACATTAGGCCCCGCTAGATACAAGTTGCAACACACTCGCACGCACGCCCAGACAACCTTGATTTGAAGGCCATCATAGTTCAGCTGGTCACATTTGTTTGTGGCCTGTGCACAAAACAGATTTCTGTATATTGTGAACTGCCAGTGAATTGATTTCACAGGCTAAGCGATAACACACGGGAAGTAGTTTGCGCGCTCATGATAGATGCGTTAGAGAGAGACCGCATTCCTCCGTTCCGGCGTGAATTTGCGAAAGAAATGAGCATAAAGAATTTAACCGTACCGCTTTGTCTGGAATAGATAGAGAACAAGAACAACTGGTTAGTGTATTTGCTGGGCGCACGATGTCTCGCTTTTCACACCAAAAATTCATTCAGGCAAAGTGTCCAACAAATACATTAACCGATCGTTTATCAAGCCTTTTGGAATGGTGACACGCCGATCAGTTCCAAAACGTAGACCAAAATATAGAACAAGAGCAAATCATAAGGATGTCATAGCCAGCTCGTATGCCAGTGTTTGTAAAAAAGATCAAGGCAAGGTGTTGGATTTTCCGGTGTATAAAGCACAGTTGTGAGACTTCGTCAGTCGGGTCATTGGGAAGGTACCATAAGCAGCTAAACTGTTGACCAATCGCAACACCACACTCCACGAGCAGTTTCGTAGTTATCAGACCTATCAAGTGGATACAGCAAGCAACGCGTAGGGACATAGAGTGTGCGTTACTAGCTATTCACAACAGAACACGAGTACTTCAAAAGGAGCCTCCCAATGAACCGCTAGACGACTGTTATCCACTGCAACTCGATTGTACAGAGGCTGGTAGTCTTCGCGTTCCAGCTTCCAGTTGCCAGTGTAACAACAAAGTACGAAGCCAGTTGCGTGGTGTTGTAGCGGGTAACCCCTAGCATCTGCACCGTTCAGGAACATGGTTGACACAAAATCCAGTATTCGTTGTAGTAGAGAAACCGTCTGAAGTGGATTATTACCTCAAGTACCGATGTAACTGTAACACTTACGACGACTGCAAGAAGCGATGGGGATTTGATACATGTTAAAAGTTTTAGCGATGATAGAAGACAGCGAGATATTAGCCTATCGGTCAGAGTGCACAAATGTGCCCGCATTGCTACTGCACAGTAAACACCGGGAATATGAAAGAGTTAATGAGTGAGTAATATCAAACGTGAATTTTCGACTGGGAAGCGTTCTCCCTATAAAAAGCCACAAATGTCTGTTTAACAACACTGAGACTTGGCGGATGTGACTCGTTACTAAATGAAGTCACTGCCCCTTGCCCTCCCTGAGACGCATTGTACTTCAAGGGCGCGTTGGGCCCCTGGTCCTTCACGGACGGAAAGGCGCATGAAAGATCTACTAGGTCACCGGGCCCAAGAGTTTGCGACGCCCTGACATCGCCCTGCTGCCTTGTAGGTTAGATCTTTGATCAAAGGCTCGGGGTACGGCCCCCTAAGACAACCCTCTACTTCGGCCTGGGCAACCAGGTAGTATCACGCCCACTGACAAATCATGGACCACACTGCTTAGTACTGCTCCTGCTAGGCCTATCTTCTGTGCAAACACAACCGCTCAACCTACACTCACAGATCACCTCACCTCCCGTCCTTCACCCACTTGTACTCTTATGTCTTCTACGGTTACCGTCACAAACGATCTACGTCTCGGAACTGATGGAAGCAACAACCAAACTCCCGGTTTTCAATGTCCTACGATCACAACCGCCTCCCACTCCACCGAAGCTCCAGCTCTTCTTCGACCTGGTTCTCCATTCATCCTCGCAGCGTTTAAGGTTAGAACTTTGATGCAGATCCGACGACAAGCATGTCTAGGCCGTACTCTTGAAACTCATTCGGTAAACATTCGTTGCTTTTCATAGACCAGATTACAAGCCTCTAGCGCCGTCATCAGAATGGCCACTCCGGTAACCCCTGAGGCCAAATACCACCTGCGGCTTTCCGGAGACCTGGCGTTGAGCTCATCCCAGGTAGTCGAATTGTTGATTTGGATTATGCTGATGATATCGCCTTGCTGGGTGACGATCCACACGTCGTCCAACTTGCACTAAACTGCTTGGCGATTGAAGCATCAAAGTATGGTATGTACTTTTCGCCATCCAAATGCAAAGCTTTCTTCCAAGACTGGCAGGTGCCTCTGCCTGCACTCACGCTTGCTGGTGAGACACTAGAGGTTGTGGAGAGCTTTGTCTACTTGGGAAGTTGCAACACTGATGGCGGGGCTATTGGAGACGAGATTTCGATGCGCATCTCGAGAATACGACACGTTTTCAGGCTGAGGCATTTGTGGCGTCGCCACGACATTCGTCTCTCCATCAAAGGGCGGGTCTATTGTGCAACTGTTCGTGCTGTACTGTTGTACGGATGCGAGACCCGGCCCATTCGTAAAGATGACTTGCGCAGGATATCCGTCTTTGAGCACTGCTATCTGTGGTCCATTGCCCGTGTGTGGTGGCAGCCACACATAATCAATGTGAAGTTAGACAGTGTATCTTGGGACGTGGAAGCCACTCGCTCGAGGAGCTCATCTCACTGCATCAACGGCAGTGGTTGGGACACGGATGGCGCATGCCTGTCCAGCGTTACCCCCGGCGTGCGTTGTTTGCACTTGCTGGACAGGGCTGGAAAAGACGGTCTGGTGGACAGCCTACAACATGGAGAAGCCGCATGAAGAAGTTGATGAAACAGTTGGCCTCGGCTTGTTGTTGTCGACTACCTGGTTGGGGTCCGAGAGATGCGGGTACTTGCTGGTTGAAGACCTTGGAAGTTATGGCTCAAGATCGATGTCAATGGCGGAGGTGTGCATCGGTGTGTTGCGGTGTCCCTTCTTCCTCCCTCTAAAAGAAGAACAAACTGAAAAAAGTTCAGAAGCTGTGAGCGGTAAACTAGACAAAAGAAGCTTTGGTTGTTGTTGCTCTTTTCTTATTATTCATACTGTTTTCCTATTCAGCCATGATTGCGATGGCACAATATCTGTACCACAGATCGTGTATTATATATATATATATATATATATATATATATATATATATATATATATATATATATATCGACCACTCGGATTGTGATGTGGCTACGAGACCTTAGTTGCGTAGGATAGTTGCTCAAGACCTACGTGAGTTAACCCACCGAGCACTCGCCTGAGCGTCTTGACCGCCTAGAATGCATCCAGTAACATCGGAGAGCGCCAATTCGCACAGATACCGATAAATCAAGTCTTCATGGATGATCAACTGCGTGAGCAGTCAATGACTCTGATTATCGGCACTTCCGTGGCGGAGCTGTCGGGCGCGTCCCCACATTGCGGATTAGGGAATACCTTTCTTGTGGAGGTAACTAAGAATAAGTCCCAGCTGTTCTCAGGCGAGATGAATAAGCAGTCGCGGATAATCAGCCGCAGCGTCTCAGAGCGTGGGGAGTTATGGGTTGTTCACCTGACTCTCCATCAAATGCCACAATAGCTCGTACGGCTCTGTGTCAAAGCCAGTGGGACCGGCTATAAAGTCACTGACTACTCAACTGCGACCAGAGGTGAATACCTAACGAAGCACGGATGAACAACCTTGCTGGTGACCGGCTTCTCTGTAGACTGCAGCCGAACATAAGGAACGCGAATGAGCTACCTGTCTGTCAAGGATGTTCGTATTCAGCAAGTTGCGTTAATCGCCCCTCGACATGGGCAACCGGGAAGCTACATGCTTACGCAACACATAACATAAACACGAAACTCCCTTCGCACCTCCCCTTCAACACTGTTAAGTCCAACTATTGTGGAAAGATGAGAGGCGGTACGGCGATCCGCCACATTTCGGGTAGTTGAGTCACATTGTACAAGAGAAACTGAAATACTGAAAGAAAATATGACCAACGAGAGACTGAGTGCAGTTTAAGTGGTAAGTGGGAATAAAAACGTACGATTCATCGCCATGCTTATGGCCTCGAGAAAATTTCCCTCAGCAGCAGAGGTGATACGAAAGGAGAGATTGTTGTTGTTGTTGTTCTTCTTCAGAGAAGGATATCGATTCCACAAGTGGGAGAGCAATCCTTGTTGAAAGACTTTGAATTCCAACTTCAACTGAGTGAGTACACGCTTCCATTCGTCAGATTGAAAGCGCTCATTTTGAACGAGAACGCTGAGATTAGAAGTGAAAAAAATAACTAGACTATGGAAAATCGTGAGAACAAGGCCGCCAAAAGATCTCGATCGTCTAAATCAGTTAGGATTGAGCAATGGGGCGAAATAAAACAGTTGGAGAAAGTAAAGAGAGCAATCAAACAGGACGGTGGGCCGGATAGTGTGAAAAAGGCATTAAAACGACAGCTGTATGGCAGAAAACTTGCAGCAAGAAATGTCACTGGCGAGTATGAATTGCCCCAATGTTGAACTGTTCTCTGAGCTTGCCAATTAGTGTGCAAACGCTTCGGCCCCAGTCGAAGTGACATCACCAGTGCGCTAGTGCGCAGCGTAGTGTTGCGATGATGTCACCCCGACTAGAGACGAAACATTTGAAAAATATGTGCCAACCTAAAGGAATAGTTCCTCTTACAAATGAACAAGCTGAACTACCCACTTTCACTTCTACAGCAGAGCTGTTCAACTATCATATGAGCGAGCTGGGGGAGGTGATAGGAGGACTCCGGAATTTATACTAGTGCTGCGAGGCCAAAGCTAGAGGACTGGGAGTTCGGGTCACATAGGTTAGTGGGTCGAAGCGACAAAAACCACACTAGACAAAATCGAGACGATTTAGAAGACAGAGTTATGCAAAGATCTGCATGGTTGTCAAGGACGGGGATCCAGATCACAGTACGGTTTAAGAGAAGTATTGATTCATGCCTGTTTTAAGGAAAGAGCAAATAGGCACCTAAAGAAGTTCAAGAATAGGGCGTACAGAACAGGATCGGCAAATTCGGGTACAACATTCACCCAGTTTAACATGATGGGCGCATGCAGTGAATATAGAGTATAAAGATAGTTCCAAACAGACAAAACGAAATTTGTGATTAGGAATCGAAATAACTACGAGGAATCGTGGGTTTCTTAGGGTTGTTACGAACAGTGAAGTAATCAAGCTTACTGATAGAAGTCCTCGAAAAATTGACCACTGGAATTACAATGCATCCGATTCTGTATGACAGCAGGTAACCCTAGAACAATGATAGTGAGAACAGACAGAAGTCCGTTAGCGACAAAAAGTAGCCAGTGAAACTGGCAGAGTTAAACAAATAGAGCGTCTGGTCACAGAAAACAACAGATTGATGAGACGAAAAAGTGTTCAGGAAGTGAAAGGGAGGTGACTCATTACGGACTGAACATGTCGAAGTAATGTTTGGTGGTCTTGTCTATGGAGCACACGACTTTCAAGAGCATAAATACACACCTTTAGTGGTGGATAAATTCGAGCGATAAATTGGAATGAGAGCCATCGGGAGATTGAAGTAATGGCTTGGCAAATAAATTCTCACTTCCGTTTTCCGGTCAGGTTGCGTCAGTTTACTTCGACGGGACAACTGTTAACGGATGCAGGTAAGGAAAACTTTTGCATAAACAGCAGGTACCTCGCTAACAGAATCTGCCCCCAGAAAACTCATCCGCGCTAATCTGTGAGCATCATGGAAGTGAGAAACTGGTAATGCACATAAAAACATATCACCCTCTGTGTTAACGCGACTTCCTTGCGGTCCCCTCCAAGGTAATATCATTTGTGGAGAAAACTGCACCACTATTGATCCTTCCCTATGTGAGAACAGTCTCTCGCATAGTCGAGAAATAAATGAGTTAATTATCTAAGTGGGGTCGAACACAACATTTGATCCGTTAATCAGGTCGAACAGAAGCTGAGAGCAACAGCACTCAACACGTACCAAAGGCACTATGCTACACATGAGAGATAGAATGATCTGGAAAACTCGAGTACACCCAAAAGTTAGAAGATACTTTCGAAAGTGCAAGTGCCACGGGAAAACGTTACGTAATGGGACAACTAAGAGCTAAGACACATATCGAAGTAGCCGCAAGTGGATGAAAGCGACCAATAAATGTTAGAAGGTAAATATTATCCAAGAAATGGTAGCAGTGCGTTTGGAGGGACAAACAAGAGTGTTTCAACAATGAAATCCAATGCCGCTAGATAGATGAGTTGAGAATGCAGGCGTCGCTCGCGGAGTCCATAAACGGATAGGGAGTACTGTACACTTCAGTGGATGTGTTCAAAGTCGTAACGACTCACACATACACACAGAGCAGAGAACAAAAGATTTCCTCTACAACCAGATATACACTGACTTAGTATTGGAAACTAAAGGAGACAAAAGGTATCAGATGAGAACACGAAAATGTACAGTAGTTGCAACAGAGTAGTACGGAAAGTTAAATGGTACATTTACACTCAGTCAGACAGCCATCACAAGCCCTGAAAAGCACTGTACGGCCGTTTCATCCTGGTAACAGTGAAGTCGCGGGTTTGAGCCTCACAGGAGCCAGGTGGAGTATGAATTGGTGGCGATTCTTGAAAGAAAAAAACGACGGTATGGTGCTTTTTCGGACGTGCGATAACTATCTGGCTGAGTCTAGATGCGACGAGCTTCTGCTTATGCAGTGATTGCCACTATCGACTGCCTCGACAAAAATCAATGCGAACGAAGGGTTCTGTCAACTCACCTTCTAGATAGACACGAGTGAAGAGAATCACAGTAACATTATGACTGCATCCATTGTCCTGTAAGCGAGGTCACCGACCACAGTAATACTTACCGACCACAACCGAAGGGATAGTTTAGAGAGAAATTTAAGAGCCTTCTCAAAATACAAGTCACCGTGTTCATCAAACGACCACATTTCTTCGCTTAGCTGGATAAAAACTTGGACCAATGCTGTGAGTGAGCGAAAAACAGCCTAAATTTGGACTTTTTCTTAAAGTAACGCGCGAGCTTACCCTGGTTGCAGGTCCCACAAACCCACAAGAATATTTCTCCCCCTTTCGCCACAACTCCCCAACTTGTACTCTAAGGGATGTCACAGTGCCAGACAAAAACCAACTTACCTCATATCATCGAGTGTCACCTTTTTGTTGACTTGTAGGACGCTACCGAGCTGAAAAAGAAGGTTATACCAGCCAAACAACCACATAAATTACCAACTCTTGCGTGAATCTGTACAAGTCACAACGGTTAAGATATTGTTCCCTGAAATAGAACTCCACCATGTCCAGTGTGATAGAATCAAAATTCTGACTAATAAACTTTGGGATACACTCACATCTCTATCGATCACGCGAACACAAACGCTTTTGTGCTGTTGCAACTTGAGTGTGACGGCCAGTGTGTGTTCGATGCTGATCACATCTGAGGAGGTTACAGTGGTAGCGAGGGTCAACTACTCACCTCTTGTCAGTACGTCGTCTCGCAGGGTTGAAACAAGAAACAAGGCATGATGCGCATCGTCCGGGTGGTAAACCTCGATGACATCACCGGCAGATATGCCATGGGAACCTCGAGAACTAAGCAAAACGTCATCTTTAAAGAAATAGATGAAGCTGGGGACATGTTACCAGAACAAGAACCACGTGAATCGCTTGATTGGTGGTATTGCAGCTTCAACCTTGGTGGAGTGTCCATAATCCCTTGGGAGTGCCGAAAAAGCGGAGTTGGCACAGGGAAGCGCACAACTGAACTACAACCATATGCGTTGGCTGCCAAGAGGGGTTCTTCAATTCAGTAGCATCTAAAACGTGACGAAAGTAACCAGGTAAAGAAGTGAAATTTTTACAGACATAGTTCGAAGGTTTAGTTTAGTTGATCAACTATGATGCAAGCACCGAAGTGCGTTGGATCCACAAGTCATACCGTAAGAACAACATTAAATAACACCGGCAGAGTAGTGGGGTTGGGTGTAAATAGAAAGGAAGGCAAGAAGGAAATGCGTCAGACTAATCATAATGGAACGAAAATTAACGACCAGATGCAAGAAACCGAATGCAGGAAAGCCCCTGGCCTCATGACTGCGCCATGTCTGACAGGGTCTCAAACCATTGGTGTGGGCCGTCCGGAGGTCCCCATCCAGGAAGACAGCACGCACTAGCCTGACGAAGTCCCTCAGACAATTTCTACAAACTTCTATGCCATGTCATGGACTGTCCACCTCGAAGTTTCGCCCCACTTGGTGCAACCACAGAGTATAATGCACTCCGAGGAAGCTGTTCAAGGGGCACACGGAGGGCATGGCTTAACCAACGCAGGCGATTAAGACATATATATATATATATATATATATATATATATATATATATTGCAACAGTCTATGAATAGACATTGAGCCATCGGAAACCATGGAACGCAAAACAAGGTACAGAAATAGTGAAAGAAAACACAACACAACACATCGGAATCCATGGTTTCGTCAGAAGGCGAGATACTACCCGGTTACCCAAGCCGAAGTATGGTGTTGACTTAGGGGACACCAACACGAGTCTTTGGCCGAATAGCCTGCCCGCAAGATAGCGGAGTAAATTCAGGGAATCGCGCCCACTGGGAGCCAATGACTAAGTGCGCAGTTCGTAGGCATTTCGTTTGTCAAACAGGCGCCCAATGCTCCCTAGAATTATAGGAAAACATTACTGGAATAAAATGTGCCACCGGAGTGAAGTAAAGGGCAGTGAGTTTATTTAGTAGAGAGTCACATCTGTCTCGTCACAATGTTGTTAAACGGACGTATGTGGTTTTCATAAGGAGAAGGCTTATCAGAGGAAAACCCACCACATCCTGGAACACTGCCGCCGAACCATTTGCTGAAGCGGGAAAAGCCTGAACCACCCAGATGGTACCACGAGGAGGTTGTTCGGCAAGCCAGCGGTTCAAAGGTTTAGTATGCAATTCACAAGTTGCCGCTATGAAGGTGCGGTGAGCTCCCAGTAACCCAGACTGTAAACAACCGTGGGAGGTTGCGTGGCAGCGAAGTGTCGATGAGAAGTACTGATGTACTGCTGACATCTTGTGAGGTCCATTCGCGAAGTATAAGCAAAAGTTGGGTGCTTATGACGTAAAGGTTGTTCCGATGACTAGTTCCACGAGGCTGATAATGGTCGTTGAAGAAGACGGCTGGGGTCATCATTACAGTGCATGACCTAAAGAGCGGTTACAACGAGGAAATTAGCATAGTCAAGACACTGCGTAGTGTCAGTCTAGCACACTTACTTCCTCAAAGTCTACATCAGTGGGAGGATGGTGGAAATCGATATATTACGAAGCAAGTGCCTACAAAATATCCGTACTTTATCGTAACATTCATCGCAACCACAGTCTCTGAACACAAGCAGTCCAAAAATGCACAAGAGTTGTATAGTGAAACAATGCTGACAACATATTGTTGCATCAGGGCGGTGGGAAACGATAGTCTCATATATATGTGTGAGAAATGTCATGCTGAAAAAATCGAAGCACAGAATCATACAGCCGAAACGCAATACTCACTGTGAGGTGAAGACAGTAAACACAGTCGGACAGCTATCACACCCGGGAAAGTGCACTAGATGCCCGTTTCGTCTTGTCGGGAATCCTTAGCAGAACAAGTGAATCGAATACTTTTGGGTACAAACCCGCAACCTCATTCTTTAGAGCCATTCACTTAGGCCACTGAGCCATTGCTAATTATTAGCTGAGATATGGTACGGCTCTGGAAACCATTACCATTTCCAGTGGAGGCGGGCTGCTTGAGAGTCCCAACTAGACGGAACGGTTTTCCAATGCAATTTTGGCCCATAGCTTTAAGTCTCACAAGCCTGCCTTGTAATTCGAGGACCCGAGTTCGAATCCTGGTAGGGACCGGGCGACCCTCGCAGTATCCGTAGCCCACGTGCGACTGGTGACGGTTGCGAGGCAGCGAAGTGTTGGTACTGCGTACTGGCGTAGTATTGATGCCTTTTTGCCTTGCCGGATGTATCGTGAGGGACTGAGTTCGATTGCAACTAACTTTACTAATAATAAGAAAACGACCAGACTAACCGGGTGGTTCGGAATTGACCCGCTCTAGCAAATGGTTCGACACCGGTGTTCCGGGAGGTGGTGAGTTATCGCCTGACAAACGTTCTCTCTATAAATGGACACGTGCACTTACCAACATCGGGAAGTAGCGGACGTGACTCGCCACTAAGTAGTCACTGTCCCTTGATTCACAATGGCGAAACATTGTATCCCAGCAGTCCGCTGTTGAAACCTCGAGAAAGAATAGGCCCCTGCGTGGCAACCGACCAGAGGAAAGGCGTAAGAATTAAAAAAAGATCAGTCATCGGCTCCCAATGGGTGCGATTCTCTGAATTCGCCCCGCTGTCATGCCAGGAGGCTCTGGGTAATGTCCCCTATGCTAACTCATTAGTTAGAATTGTGTAAGTTGATAGTACCGCACCCTCTATTTGTGTTGTGTTCAATATTTGCGATTAATGTAACCCGTTGTTTCCCCTGGTTTCTGATGACTCCACGTCTATTTGTAGACTATATATACAGTAATCTCAGCAGTCAATCAACTAAACACAGAGACAACATAAAACCATGGAGATCAGCGGATAAGGGGCCGTCATCGCGTCAAAATCATCGTGGCATGGTAGTTGAAGGTGAGCAAAACACATCAGCTACTATGTCGCAGGAAGGAAGGACCCTTTCGACAAAAAGTAGAACAAAACCTTTTTAGTTTGATTTTCACCGCCGAATTTTTTCTTTTTTTGTCATTTTCAATGTTCCTAATATTAAACATGTGAATCAATACAATACTGTACACAATTCTTGTACTGATTCCGGTTGCGGGCCATGTCTTCAAGAGTGCTAAGTCATTGGCACTCCTCATCTGTGGGTCCCCATCCTGGAAGACGTACGGATCCAACAGCGGCTAGACACGACGTCAGCGATTTCATGTGCTACCGCCAAGTGAAAGGTTGACCACCACGCGGTCGCCTCAAGCCAGCTCCTTGACGAGCGAATAGAGCGCGACGCGGTAGACGCTCAGGTGCCATGCGTAGGACGTGACCGAGCATCATCATCATCATCATCATCATCATCATCATCATCATCATCATCATCATCATCATCATCATCATCATCATCATCATCATCATCATCATCATCATCATCATCATCATCATCATCATCATCATCATCATCATCATCATCATCATCATCATCATCATCATCATCATCATCATCATCATCATCATCATCATCATCATCATCATCATCATCATCATCATCATCATCATCATCATCATCATCATCATCATCATCATCATCATCATCATCATCATCATCATCATCATCATCATCATCATCATCATCATTATCGTCGTCGTCGTCGTCGTCATCATCATAAACAGCAGTACATCAGCCATCTGAACTGATGCTTCGCTGCCATACAACCATGAGGACCTATGAAATAAAGAATAAGAAAAGGGAGAGAAGGGGGACTTACCTGAAAACCTTAATGCCCTAATCAAACATTCAGGGTCAAGGCGACTACACCTTGTGTACACAACATACCGTCACAAACAGCTGGCTATCGTGCAAAGATAAGGCGGCATCGGCGAGACAGCCTCCTTGCGGCTTTCACTGCCACGCGCCATAATCAGCCATTAACCCGCAGATAACTCAGCACCAAACACACTTTAAACAGGCAATCCAATTAAGAGACGGCAGCAGACGCGCCACTGGTGTCGGTTGCGAGCCATGTCCTGTAAAGTCTCGAGCCCAGCAAAAGGCCAGTCACCTGGACTCCAGCCCGGAAGGCGAGACGGACCAACGGTACCCAGTTTGGTCGTCAGTGACTTCATTTCCCGCTGCCAAGTCAACTTCTGTCCACCTCGAGCCTTGCGCCATCCTACACCTGGGAGACTGAACAAAACCCTCCTAGGTAGGCGGTGACCAAGCATGCGTAGCATGTGCCCGAGCCAACGCAACTTATTCAGTGCTATCTGTTGTTCTAGGGAGCTAGCATGATTATCATCACCTAGCACCCGTCTACGCACATCATCGTTTTGGACACGCTGGTGCCATCCGACACCAGTAATGCCTTGCAAACTACGATGATCAAAGACTTGAAGGCGCCTCAGATCTTCAGACCGAAGGGGCCAAGACTCATTACCACAGTGCAGAATGACCCCCATTGTGGCCTTGTATACTCGGCCTTTCAGACGGAGGGAAACTCCCTTCTATCGCCAAACATGCCCCAGGTTCAAGAAGGTGGCTCTGGCTTTTACAATGCGTGAGCTGACGTCACTTTCTATTCGCCCATCATCGCTGATGCAGCTGCCAAGATAAGTGAAATTATCAACCACCTCGAGTTCCTCGTTAGCAAGCGTCAAGGGGTCATCAAGTGGCTGGTGGTCCAGCAGCAACACTTTGCACTTGGAAGGTGCGAAGTGCATACCAAATAATGGGACCACTCTGGATAGGCTATTCAGGGTTGATTGTGCCGCCTCAACATTGTCGAAAAGCAAGACGATATCGTCCGCATAATCTAGATCAACTAATCTTTC